CTCTCCATTTTCGGACATTCAAGGTCCAATTTCAAGCCAAATTCCCCAACAAACACCAAATACCTCTTCTCCTCATCATCCTCTACAAAACCATACCACTCACCCTCACCAAATCCCACCTCCCAAAAAAATCAAAAATCCTTCACAAAAAAAGGGAAAAACAATTCCATGGCACCAAAAAAGGGAAGAGCTACTTCTTCAAGAGCTCCAAGAGCTATTCCACCCGTCGAGGGCTTCGAATCGGTGGAATTTGAGACCAAAGCACAACATGCCCGCTTCCTTGAGCAATCCGAACGAGAGGTAAAACCCTCCCGCTTTCTATGCCAATTGACATTAACGATGTTCTGGATTCATGATATTATGAGAGATATTTTTCAAAGGTGTGGCATGCTTAAAATGTTTGATATGCATTATTGGCCATATTCTCGTTTGGTGTATGAGTTTTACAGTTCCGTTGAGCATGTGAAAGATGAGAATGATCACACAAATAACACGATCAACTTTTGTCTGCTCAACGAGAACCGCTCACTCACCAAACGAGAATTCACTGAACACTTCGGCCTACCCTTGCTTGATGACACGGTAGCGTATAGTTCACCGGTGGCCTATGAACTATGGAGAAGAATGACCGGAATTGTCAATGTTTGTACTTCCCACCTAAATGTCAACCATGTCCAACACCCGGTCTTCCGAATTTTCTTAAAATTCTTGGCTAATTGCTTTTTCGGAAGACCAAACAACCACCAAACTAGAGTGTGGGATGTATGCCTCTTAGCACAAATTGTTCTTCCGGGGGCCGGGCCATACGATGTGACCACAGTTCTTTGGGATCACATCATCAATGTTAAAAATGGTGGAGGAAAAATCCTGATAGGGGGTCTAATTACCCACATTGCCACACTATATGGTTTTGTATGCAATGGTGCACAAAACCACAGGACCCTTCGTGGCCTTCAGTTTTTAAAGAATGCTGGCGATGTGACTCTTTCACACATAGAACATGATGGCCTAGAAATCTATAATTGGCACATCAAACCCGGCCAAGAACTATACTACCCCTTCCCTTTCGAAAACCTCCCGCTTAACATCATCGATCACCAAATCGGTGATGGACACCACTATTGTATGCCCGGGGGAATTCCACCACATTTTGCACCCCCAGAAAATGAGGCAGGGGACAATGAAGCCGCCAATGAACAGCCTGCATTTGAAGCACCACCCATCGTTCCTGAACAACCTCGCCCACAACCCCATGCTCATCAATACTCTCCTTTTGAGCAAGAAATGCTAAACAGCATGAATGCTCTTAATCTCAATTACACCCAACTTCGGGAGGAAGTCGGGTTGTACAGAAATGAGCAAAGGCACAGCTTCGAGAGGATTGAAGAACAAAGGCGAGAAGATTGGCGCCGATATGAAGAGGACCAAAGGAGGACTTTTGGGTCTATCTACTCCTATATCGCACATCAGGGAAACTTCACCTCTATGACCACTCCTCCTCCGGCACCTTCATGGTATAACCCCACTGAATGGGGTTATTTTGATGGCTCGACCTCTAGTGGTGGAGGCGGGGAAGACGGATACAGCGGGGATCATATGGACGAGGATACACAATATAGGGGCTATGAAGGATTTTTCGATGGCGGAGATGCGGGCGGGCACTAGGGACTGTGCCACGGACTAGCGGTGGGGGAGATCTTCCCGGTATGTTCACATTCACACTCTTTATTCTTCTTGTCTTATTAAAAAATAAAAAAATAAAAAAAAAAGAAAGCTTGTTAAGTTGAAACCCACAAAGGGCAGCTTAAGCAAAAATAAAGCAAAAATAAAAGTGACTTTGTGAGATTTATATAAATAAAAAAAATAAAAATAAATAAAAAAAATGTGGGAAGTTGGGTTGAAAACCCGAAAGGGCACCAAGGCAAAATGAGAGAATGAGAGAAGTATTTCTTTTTATTCTGCAGGATCCTAAGGGTGATGACTGAAAAAGGGACATTGCATAAGAAATTGGAAGGGAAGACCCCTTGATGTGGCCTGTTTCATGTTACAGGGTATACTGTGTAATTATTTTTTGTTCAACAAACTTTGTGATGGTTGGGGTGATGAACTTATCATTTATGGATTTCTTGATTACATTTACTCGAGACGAGTAAAGATTCAAGTGTGGGGATATTTGATATGCACTAGTTTATAGTGCATAAATGTATGTTTTTGTATTAGTTTTGTGTGGATTTTCTTCCCTCTTTTGTTAGTTTGTAAACATTTATAGTTTTAGAATAGTAGTAGTGTTTTTTAGCAAGGAAAAGGAGAAAAGCTGAAGATAAAAATGGCCAGGAGCGCTAACCCGGTCGGGTCATGCACTACACCCGGTCGGGTCTGAGTTGAGAACCAGATGCTTGAGAAAATAGCTAGACCCGGTCGGGTCCCCTACTTGACCCGGTCGGGTCGGATGTGACCCGGAACACCAGAACGTGCCAAGGATCGCCCGAATAAAGAAAATCTGATTTTTGAGTCAAACCCGGTCGGGTCCCCTACTTGACCCGGTCGGGTCTGACTTGACCCGGGACATTTTAAAGTGCTGAAACACAAAAACGTGGGAGATAATCTGATTTTGACCGGTACTCGGTCGGGTAAGCACTAAACCCGGTCGGGTACCCGGCCAAAGGTGTTGAAAAACACCTATAAATAGCACACTTTTTCTTCACAAAAAATCATCCCTTCTTCCATACTCTTTAGCTCAGTTTAGAATAGCATTTCTTTATATTTTTCTAGCTATGTTTAGTCTCCAAATGAGGAGCTAAACTTCCATTCTTGGTTTTGCTCTTGAAGCTTGTTGATTATTAAAGGTGTGAGTTATTTTCTTAACTTCTTCTCTTGATTATTAATTCTTCCCTTAATCTCATTCTATATTAATGTTGGAGGGTTGCTAAGTGACGATTAGTTAACGTTCCGACATTAATTACTACTAGAAACGATCAACGAACCGATGGTTAATCGTTGGTGGTTTCACGAGTAAGTAACTTCGGTTTATTAATGCACGGTCGTGGTTAATAGACTTAAGAGGGATCAATTTTGTTGGTTAAACCAAAACCGTTGTGTTAAGGTTATCAATCTCAATTGATTTCATCAAGAAGTTAAAAAGATTGAATGCTACTATTATATCGTTATACGGCGTTGTTCTATATTTGATTAATAGTAAGGGTTATTAATGAACGATCGTTGTTAATAACTACCCTCGATGAATTGGAGATACTCCTCGATTGAGTATTCGAGAGAGGATAAGTTATAGATATAACAAAGATCGACTAAAATATATCAACAAGTGGAAAGTAGCAAAGCCAAGTCCCTTTTATTCTTGAATTAAACACATATAGGTTGTTCATCTTAGTTTCTTAATTGAATTAAATCACTCAAAACCAAAACCCCCCTTTCTAATTACTAGTTTCATAAAAAGAGAATCATTCCTTTCCCTGTGGATACGAACTCTACTACGCTATACTACGTATAAGTGTTTAGTATTGAATTTATTTTGACGCACCGTGACAAAGTGCTCGTCACAAATCCATCACTGGAGCAAATAAAATAGAGAAATAATCTCTAATAATCCCTTCGAGGTGTCCTCTATTAGTTATCCACGATCCATCCTCCTGCCTAAGACCTCCCATTTTATTTTTCCTTCTTCGTTGTTTAATTGCATTGCCAAAAAATCGAGAATTAATATCTCCTTCCTTCGGCCAAAATTCTTTAGCTCGCTGCCTCCAATACAGATTTTCTTTTTCATAAGTGAATATAACACCACTCTTACTCGAACAAATTCTGCTAGACTATTCGCATCATCCCGCCCTCTCAACCAAGCTAATCTTTTTTGTACGCTTGGATCTGATGTCGGAACCCTTTCGTCTTTAATTAGAAAGAACCTTTATTAATTCCAAAAAAATCCAAATCTTGCACATTCGCATTTATTTTATCTATTTTAAATCACTGTATTTATTTAATACCTGATTCCCTTTTCTGTCCCTGTGGATGCGATACTCGGACTAAAATCCTATATTATTACATCTTTTTAAGTGTGAGAATACTCACGTCAATATATAACCGGGATCGACGAACATTTCACTGAGTGGAAATAAAAAAAACAAGTCCCCGTCTCTATTAGTGTTTAAACATTCTTAAGTTCAAAACAGTTTTAAAACCTCCCTTGTTACAATTTCATGAAAGAAATATATATTCTTTTGCCTACGAATACAGTCATTACTTCACTATACTAAGCATACGTGTTAGTATTGAATATTATTTTGAGGCAAGGCCATCTTTTAGGAGCTGTAATATGTGCTTGGCACCGGGGCCAACTCCTGTAAGTGGGCCTCCAAAAATTTAGAATGTAGTATTAGTTATACATTTGATTTTTATAGATGTTATGTATTGTTCAAGATTTTAAAAGGTATATAAATTTAAATTCTCTAATTTATGTACTTTTAACATCATAAAATTTATATTTCATTGGACTGTCTAATATATTTATATTTTATTGTTAAATTTTATATTTTTTCCTATTTTAGGAGGTCTCAATTCGCCATTTGAAACCGGAGCCTCTAAATTCATTAGACGGCCTTGTTTTGAGACACACAACGACTTTAGTGTCATCAAATTCCTTGCAAGTATTTATGATGTTTTTATTTGAACTGGAATTTTCTTGTCCTATGATCTTCCATGGTCAGAACTGCTTTGGTTTGGTAGATATCTGGTCTCTGTATTTTATAAATATCGAGCTCTAATCATTTTAAGTCTTGTCTGGTCTTATCCGTCGAAGTATGATCTGTGTGATTCGATTTGGGATTTAAATAAATCCAAGTAAAAACATCTTTACAAACTAGAACGATTTCATGCATAACTTTAAAATTTTTATAGGACATACGGAAAGCATGATGCATGTCCTCATTTAAAGAGGTAAAATTTAAATTAAAGCCTCTGAGTTAAAGACACTAACAACTATATATCCACGTAAACACGAAATTTTAATTAATTAACTAAATAACAGAATAAATAACAAAACAATAATCTCTTTAGTTAAGGAACTAATTAACTAAAAATGCCTTGGCCAAATTCCGATCAACCCCTGCCTGACCTAGCTTATTTGGTCAGAGCCATATAGAGTAGACAAATATTCGAAGTTATCATATGTAATTATTACTAACAAAACGCAATGAATAACTAAATCCTAGACACAGTCCAGATTCGTAATGCATACAACTATGAATAGAACTTGTAATCTTTGGCTTGCAATATTATCTGTCTTAATGCACCTATTGGAGCTACCGTCATTAGACAAATTCCAAGTACAATGCATATCTAGCAAACAAAAGAAGAAAATGAGTTAATAATGTATATGTGTGTGTAATTTGTGAAGTTTATTATACGTACCAAAAAGAGTATTATGTACACCACAATTATAAATGATGGAAATCAAAAGCTTACTATGTTTATAATCCATGTCCAGCTTAATATCTTGGGCTTCTTGATCTTGAGCCATATGATGCAAGGAAGCTGCAAAATTTAGAAAACAAATCACACTTTAGTTAAAACGATGTTGATTTTCAAATTTCAAGACTGCATAGTGCATATATACATCAAGTGAGATGTGTGCTTCCTCTGTTCATTAATACTTTTCCGTATTTTTAAGGATATTTTTATTTGAACTCGTTTCACTTTCAGATCAGACCAGATTTGTATAAACAATATACTAAAGATGTTAGTATAACCTATATACGAGCATTTACTAGAATAAAGATGTTATACTAGACCGGAAAAATTCAGTTCAAGTGGAAACATCCTAATTGCATCAACTTTTATTTCTCGTTTCTTAGTTTAAAAAATTATGTGCTTGGTATTGCTTGATTTCTTTACTAAGGATGGTTTTAATTTGATTTGTTTATGTTTGGTATGATCTAGTCTAATTCTGTAAACGTCCAGTGTATGTGTTTTTATTAGTATCTAAGCCAAGTCATATTCCATCTGATCTATTTAATTCTGAACTACTCTAGACTATTCTATTAAAGTCTGGTTTTTGGTCAGACATTAAACTGAAGTTAGCCAAATAAAAAAAACATACTCCGTATATCCTATATAGTAAAGGTTAATCGCTTAATTTATTAGAAATTGCTCTAAATAGGAGCAAAAACGTTTTGAATTTGCAAAATAGGAGTATCATGTTTTTTATTCCCTTAATAGGAGTAATCTGCCAAGTTTGGAAAAAAATGTCATGTTTTAAAGCCTAGTAATGCCAAATTTGGCAGAAATTTACTCATATTCAAGGAATAAAAAACATGATACTCCTATTTTGGAATTTCAAAACCTTTTCACTCCTATTTAGGGAATTCTCTCTTAATTTATTAGTAAACGATAGGTTAGTGGTGTAGCTAATAAGTGTATCCACATAAAATACTATTAGTAAACGAAAAAATCACATTTTAAAACTCTTTTGCTATGTTTAAGAAATCGGACCGGGGAGCGACCCGGTCGTGTGACCGGGTCACGGGTCAATCCGGTCCCAGTTGGATCAACCCGATCAACGCTATAAAACCGGTCAAGCTTTGGGAAAAGGTGCAAATAAGCCTTCGAACTAACCGAAAAAGTGCAAATCACCTCTTTTATAGGAGGCTCGATCTCTCTGGCCGTCGCCATTTGGGGTGGTTACCGGTGAAATTTTTTGATGAATGTTTTTGACAATCTTCTTCATTAAGTCTAGTTTACCCATAATAAATGTCAGGTAAAAGTTCAACCCGGAAGACAATCAAATGATTTTCTGAAATATACTGCGATGTTTAACTGCGCAGTTATGTTCAAACATTTATTTGACTGCCTTCACGATTTAAGTTTTAGCTGAAATTTGGTATGTATAAGATAGACTTAATGAAGAAGATGCTCAAAAAAATTCATCAAAAAATTCCACCAGGAACCGGCTCAAATGGTGACGTCCAGACAGAGCCTCCTATAAAAGGGATGATTTGCCCTTTTTCGGTTAGTTCGAGGGCTTATTTGCCCCTTTTCCCTTAATAATAATACTTACTAAACACTTGAAAGTTAAAAAAGTCTCATAGTATTCCAAAATACTATTTTGATCTTATTAAAATATATAAATATATTATTTTTAGGGTATTTAAATTACAATTTTATTGGTTAAAAGTACTTCAAGATTAAAAAAATGGAAACACAACCAAATTAAAACCAGGCTTTTCTGGTTTTATCGGGTTTTCCAGGTCCGAGTTTGGACCAGGTTTTGCCAGGTCGGCCGGGTTTTTCCAGTTTTTGACCATTTCCGAGTTTTTAATTAACCGAACCGGGTTTTTGCCCGGGTCACCGGGTTCCGGGTCGACTCGGCCAATTTGGGTTGGTTTTTTAAACATAGCTCTTTTGAGCGAATATATTACACATTCTTATACAATGGTCATTAACATGGTCAATTTTATCAGCCCGTGGGCAAATTACTACAGAAAAAAGGTTCTCCATATGATCCGATGCGAGTAAGTAAATAAAATTACAATTCACAAATTTAAATTACAATATCAAGGAAAGGGGGCAAATAAGCCCTCAAGAGAGAGCCTCCTATAACTGTGCAGTTAAACGGGGCATTATATTTCAGAAAATCATTTGATTGTCTTCCCAGTTGAATTTTTACCTGAAATTTAGTATGGGTAAACTAGACTTAATGAAGAAGATTATCAAAAAAATTCATCAAAAAATTCCACCGGTAACCACATCAAATGGCGACGGGCAGAAAGAGCCTCCTATAAAATGAGTGATTTGCATTTTTTCGATTAGTTCGAGGGCTTATTTGCACCTTTTCCTCAATATTAAATAAGCAAATCTTCTTATAATTTACTAAGTAATTCTTAATAATTTTCAGGAAAATGTGATCTGAAATTTTATACAGATGCAATATACTGGTATAATAGTTTAATAACATCAATAAAAATGCATACAAATGCTAAAGATAAATTTATGACTTACGAAGTAGGTGGTTGGTGCAAAAGCAAAGCCTCCGAAAAATCCAAGCAACCCACCAAAGAACGGGAATGTGCAAGCCAAGAATAAAGTTAATACTGCATGCGCATAAAAAACAAGGAATTAAAAACGTAATTAACAAAATGATTAATAATAAATAAATTGTAGTACAAATAATCATATCAAAATAAAAATCTTATAATCAAATCATAGTTTTAAAAAGTTCTGTAATTATATTAACTAATTACTCACCCACATAAGTCGTACGTGTAACGAACCGAAGCTTCCATGTAGGCTTAAAATGCATTGACCTTACTAGCCAGCTTTCTACGGTATCAAAGAGCGGCATTGCAAAAACCTATGTACACAAAAATGCATTATAAATATGGAGTACACATAATACACATACCAGTAATAATAATAATAAGGGAAAAGGGTCAGATAGGGTCTCTCGAACTTACAAAAAAATGTCAAATACGGCTTTATATAAGAGGTTCTGTCCGACCAACGTTATTTGGGTGGTTACCGATGAAATTTTATAATGAAACTTTTTTAGCATCTTATTCATAAGTCTAGTTTACTCATACCAAGTTTTAGCTAAAACTTCAATCCGGAAGGCATTCAAATAAATTATTGAAGATAAATGTGCAATTAAAAGCACAGTTATCTTCAAGAATTTATTTGAATTCCTTCCGTATTGAATTTGTAGCTCAAATTTGGTATGCGTAAATTAGACTTAATGAATAAGATTCTCACAAAATTTCATTGAAAAATTCCACACGGAACCTCCCTAAATGGCGTCAGCAGGACAGAACCTATTATATAAGGCCTTATTTAACATTTTTTTGTAAGTTCGATGCCCTATCTGACCATTTTCTCTAATAATAATAATTGTAATCCTTCACACATACACAGCAGTAGTAATAGAAACAATGACATAGGTTTTTACTAAAATAAAAAATATTTATAAATATGACCATTTAAGAAGAACATATCTACAACTCGACCGAACCCCTATATATACATTTTAAAATCCTACTTCGTATATGAAAACGTTTAAAGTATGAGTGAAACATAGGGAAAAAATTAAAATAGTATTATGTGTTTGTTCTTCTCCAATTATAGGATTTATGTAATCCTATTAAAAAAAATGGAATGATAAAAAATTCCTAAATAGGAGTGTAGAAGTCCTGTTTTGGAAAGAAAATAATGGTATTCCTATTTGAGAAAATTTGTATGTTTAACTTCTGTTTAGGAAATTTTCTAAAACTTTATCTACAACCATATCTATTCATATAGGTAATATAAATTGATTTTGTTTTTATATATAAGTGTACGCTTATACTTGAATAAAGAGAAAAACATGATTCTTTCCCAATATCTAGACGAGATACATATGGAGTCAAATAAGAAAAAGAAAAAGAATGATATGTGTAATCATGTGTAAGGAATGATGCATGGGAGTCATTTTGGAAAACATAAAATTAAGAAATTGCTTTAAAAAAGAGTACAGATATTTGTAATTACTTAAGTAGGAGTAATTATTATCATATTTTGGCATTATCGGACTTTAAATGACACGACAGTATTTTCCAAACTTGAAGGTAAGTACTCCTATTTAAGGAATAAAACATGACACTCCTACATTAGAATTAAAAAAGTCTGCTCCTATTTTGAGAATTTTCTCTAAGTTTTAATCAAATTATTTTCTCAAAAGCAAAAGGTGTGTTATGGCATTTTTTTCAAGAATACACACCTGATAGCTCCCAATGACATGAATGACTACAAACATGTTAGCCGCGGCGATAAGCCAAGCAGGTTTTTCGAGGGAAATCAGAATATTGTCCTCCACGGCGTTTCCGAAAGCCCAGTAGCCGATGAAAGCCACCGGAAAATAGCAAAGCAGGACGACGGCGTAGGCGACCCAGACGCCCTTCATCATGGGTTTCTTCGAGGGAGTCTCGGGGCTGGACGGGATGCCTGCCTGAATCTCCAAAACAACGTTGTGGCCGGCATAGGCAAATGCCACGTCACCCAAAGCGCTGAAGAATCGGAACACTTTCCCGGCGGTCGACGGCGCCCTCAGTGAGTAGTCAATGTCCGGTCGGGGCCCTTTGTGGGCTGATGCTACCCATGCTATCGTTGAATAACTGTCACATAAACCACACTTTAATTGCTTAATTACTCATTTTCAGAAACAATATGTGTAAGGATTTTTTTTGAATGGTGAAGCACTTTTTCAAACCCTAAAAACCATATTTTACTCGTAGAGTACATGCCTATGGATGTACTATCGTTAAATAATAAAGTAAAAATTTTGTGGTCGAGGTTTGTGCAGAGGATAGAGAGTTGACAAGGACCACAAATTCTATATTTAAAGGGAAAGGGAAAATTCTTGAAAATAGAATTAAAAAGTTTGAAATTCCAAAATATGATTGTTATGTTTTATTCCCAAAATAAGAGTAACATGACAATACATATATATTGCCATCTATGAGTCATTACTGCCAGAATAGCTGCATAATTAGCCTTAACATGGCAGTCCTTATTGTCATTAATGAAGTATTTTTTTAATTATGGTAGTAATGACTCATATTTTGGTGAAAAAACATTGTAGTTCTATTTCGAACTTTCAAACGTTTTTACTCCTATTTAGTACAATTTCTCAAAAAGAAAGTAACAAATTTAATGAGACAGCTAACAAAGAAAGAAAGTTGACAGACTTATAAGAACACACACTCGAATGCATGGAAGTATTGGGAGTATATGTTTTATACCTCAATGACATGATTGCGGCCGCAAGAGATATCACAGCGATAGAGTTGTAGTCTGGAAGATGGGAGAGGACTAAGTGAACAGATCCAAACATCATGATGAAATATGTCCTCTTGAGCGGTTTGCAAGTAGGGCAAACAGTATTATAGAACTTCATCAAGGATGTGCCTCCGGTCACCATGTAAACTATATTAACTCCGATTTGTACCACCAACTGTTGTGGCACCACGATATATAGCCCTCTTTTCTCTCCGAATGCGTATTGCCCTAACTCGTGGTACCGGTTCAGCCTCTTCCCCGTACCCTCACCTTCCGGCTCATGCATCTCCACCATTTGCCACAATGTGTATAACGTGATCACCCACGACAAAACCAGTACTGTCACTCCCGGGCCCCTGTCATTTCACCGCTCAATACTTTATAGGAGTATGTCAATTTATGTGCTTAACATGTTCATAATTAAAATATTTTAAAAGAACAGAATTTAAAAAGATTCACCTTTCTGAAAGAAAATTTTCTAATGCATTTATCGTTTAGTCATTCCAAACCAGAAATATATACATATAATGATATAAAACTTTGAGGTGCTCATATTGGAACCCTAAATTTACACTTCTTATATTGGTAACCGTCAACAACAAAGACGGACTTTAAGTTTAGTATGCTATACGGAGATATACATGATATAAATTCATGTATAAAGGGTTAGGCTACAAAATTACAAATAATTATATTGAGTTTTCATATAAAGTTATAGTAAAGACTGATTGTTCAGATCTCTTTAAAATCTCACTCGAGAAGAACATCACTTATTCAACGGAGTCTAGATTAAAGATTTACACTAGTTTATATATATAATAAAAGATTCCTCAAAAAAATTCAAATTTTTGGACGAATTGACAAGTCATGTGCTTTGTAAGATCGTCCAAAAATTTGAATTCTTGTGCTTGGCTGAGTCCCGACCCGACAGAGCACATGGGTGGATGTATGAAGTAAGATGAACGATGTATACATACCATCCTAACTCGGACATGGCATAAGGAAGGCCGAGCACGCCGGCGCCGACCATGGCGGTGACATTGTGGAAGGTGGAGTACCACCACGTGCCCTTCCGGGAACCTGTGATGGGAAGCCATTTATCGAGATCCGTCTCCGATGAGGATGACACCCTCCTATCAGCTCCATCCTCCATACTCCCGAATACAATGTTCTTGTTTTGAAAGATTCTCTACTCGTTTATCTGATCTTGTTATATATAGAAAGATCTCTATAATATAATAATGAGCCTTGATTATTATTTTCGTGATGAAAACACAGGTTTATACTTTTGAAGCGTGGTTGAATTGAGTGTTCCACTCAAATTGGGACACTAAAGATTTAACAAACGAGGACGATCGCGACTACTTTTTTGCGTTTCTATTCTACTTAATTTTTTAAAATCGTTAATCTAACTCAAAAAATAAGTTTTTCAAAAAAAAAAAAAACTCAAAAAATAAGTTTTTTAAAATTCTTTAACAATTAATTAGATACACACAAAAATCAGTAAATATCGGTGGGGCAGACTTGACTTGGTCGCGTTTAATTACTTGGCCGCAATCCTGTCTAAGAGCAAACTTATCTCTTTTTTTCGGTAAAAAACTAATTACCGAATAAATCTGGTGTATATATACTTTGTACTATATAAGTAGGATTAGGAATCTACGATTCTACGTACATAGTCCTCTAACGCTCAAACACATTGATTGGCTAACTAGCAAAAAAGAATAAAAAAACTAACGAACGTTAATTGTCTATTTAAATATCAAACCACATAATTGGTAATAACTAGTGCGGAGTAATAATTAATAGGATTAATTATCAAAATAGGACAAAAAAATAAACTATATTTTCATAGGACTAATTATGGGTGTCTTGGACAAATATACCCTTATAGTTATTGAAATGTTTTAATTCATAATAAAATAATAAAAAATAATAATAATTCGTAAAAATACTAAAAAAATAATAAAAATATTTCGATGATAATAATTTATTTTCAAAAAATAATAAAAATACTCAAAAAAACCAAAAAAAAAAAAAAACGCCGCCTCTGCCACCTCTGCACCACCACCTTCAGTCATCAGGGGAAAAAATGTCATGTTCATTACGAATGTCATATTTATGGCAGAAAACAATGAAAATGTTGACATTCTCAAAGAGAAATATGCCGTATTTTTGCATTTTCAGGAAAAAAATGGCAACTTTTAGGAAAAATGGCATTTTCTCACCGGCCGGAGATGGTGGTGCAGGGAGGTAGTACAAGCGGTGGGAAACACATCATTTTTTTAATTTTTTTAATGGAGTTTTACTATTTTCAATAATTTAAAAAAAACAAATAAAATTATTTTTTAATTTTTTATTTTATAAATATTTTATAAATTTTTTAATTATTTTTTCTACGATTTTTTGATTTTTTTTGAATTTATTATGAATTAAACATTTAATCAATTCATATTTAAAGGAAGGGTAAGAATGGAATGAAAAAATAGGTATGTTTCCAATAGGACTAATATGGTCCTATTTTGAAAAGAAAAACATAGTAAATCCTATTTTGAGTTTTTGTCATCGTTTTAATCCTATTTGGAGTAATTTCTATAATTAATAAGTAGAATTTCATAGACAGTATTATGAGGAAGAAAGGTAAATTGGATAATAAAGCTGAAACAAATCTTATTGAAAATTAACGTTTCAAGTGGATCAAATACACACCAATGCAATATGTAGTAATAGCGGCGGCGACAACGACGACGATGATGAAGACCACAACAACAAAGTATTTTTAACTTACGTACATAAATTATTAAGAAATATAAAGTAGTTTTTCAAATATGTATTTTTTTAAAGTCACAGTGTTATAATTAACTTTTTTGTGTTTGCTCTAATTTATACAAAAAAATACCAAAACTTATAATTTTTTACGATATTTCATATGACACCAAAATATGTAGTTCTGTTAAATATAATATAAGTCTGCTAACAAATGAGGGGAAATATTAAATATATCATATGTCGTGCTTTTAGGTATAAGGTAAACCGGCTAACAATTGAGTGAGCGAACTTTCTCTCTCATATGTAGAGCTCGTTTGGTAACACTGAACTTGGCTGAATTGGCTGATTCTGGTGAAATTTATGAAGCTCTGGTTGAAGTGAGGCTGTATTGGCTGATTCTGCTGATTTACGAAAAAAATATTTAAAATATTTGTTATTAATAAATAAAATAAAAAATATATGAAAAAGTAGCTAAAATGATCATTTACAGTAACTTTAGGCAATAAAGCAAAAAAAGTAACTCTAACCTTACTATATATTTTAATAAATTTTTATTACAGGCTTTTCGTGGAATTTTTTAATAAATTTTTTTATCATGTTTTTCATGAAATTTAGTTTATTCACACAAAACTTCATATTAAAATTCGATCAGAAAGTCAATTAAATAAATTTGTGAAACATATTGCGCTTTATATATACATAAAGCATATTATGTTTAAAAATTTATTGAACTGACTTCCAGATTGAATTTAAGCTGAAGTTTAAGGAGATAATCCACACTTGATGAAAAATATGCTCATAAAATTTTATCAAAAAGTTCAACCGAGAAAAGCCCCAAATGCCCTTGGTCGGAAGGTGATTTATGTGTGGACCGTCTGAGAAGATTATTTCTCAAGATTATAATCAAAGTGAAGCTTATCATATGGGATGAAGCTCCAAAGACACACAAACATTGTTTTGAAGCTGTAGATAGGACACTAAAAGATTTGCTTAGATTTCACAATCCCGATAGCTTGAAACTTCCATCTGGAGGGAAAGCTTTCGTTTTTTGTGGTGATTTCAGGCAAATACTCCCAATCATACCAAAGGCATATAGGCAAGAGGTTGTTCGTGCTACTATTAATGCCTCATATAGTTGGAGACATTGTCAAGTTCTCACTTTAACAAAAAACACGAGGCTGCAGTGTGGTTTTTCGCATTGTAATATTGAGGAATTGAAAAGATTCTTAGAGTTGGTGCTCAAAATAGGAGATGGAAATATTGGAACTGCCGAAGATGGAGAGGTCGCCATTGATATACCTGATGATATGCTTATTACCACCTTAGGTGATCCTATTGCCTCAATATTTGCTAGAACTTATCCGTCATTTCTGGAAAATATGACTGATCCATCATATTTTCAGCAAAGAGCTATTTTGACATCCACAAATGATGTTGTAGAGCTTATAAATAATTATATGATTTCATTGATGCCTGGAGAAATGATGACATATTTGAGTTTTGACAGCCCATGCTCGCTTGAACGAAACATTGGCACTGAATCTGATGAAGTGCATAATCAAGAGTTTCTAAACACCATCAATGCATCCGGAATACCGAACCATAAATTGGGACTAAAGGTTGGTGTTCCCATTATGTTAATGAGAAACATTGACCAGTCATCTGGCTTATGCAACTGAACTCGCCTGATTATTACTCGGTTAGGTAAATTTGTTTTGGAGACGACGGTTATCACTGGAAAAAGTATTGGTCAAAAGGTTTTGATTCCATGACTATCACTGGTCCCGTCAGATATCAGAATTCCTTTCAAATTTCAGCGCAGGCAATTTCCAATAATTGTTTCATTTGCCATGACGATAAACAAAAGTCAAGGACAATCTTTGGATCAAGTTCCAAAATCTGTCTTTACGCACGGTCAATTATACGTGACCATGTCAAGGGTTACCTCAAGGAGCGAGTTGAAGATTCTTATATGTGATGACGAGGGCCACGCTATCAACAACACGAATAATGTGGTATATAAAGAAGTTTTTTAAAATTTGCGAAACTTTTTTTTTCATTCTCAACACATATGACTGTTTCTCTATCTTATAAATTTTAATGAGACATAGAGTTCATTGATTTTTCACTTAGATCTTATGGTTACACATTATCATTTATTTTAATTTTCTTTTCATTTTTTCATACGGTTCAAATTTTCTTACTACTACGACTATGTATATAATAAAAGTTACAACATATAAACTCTATTTTTTTATTTGTCAAAACTAACACATAATGTACCATGATAAAACATAATTTTAAATAAGTTATTATCCAATTTTAGATATACCCCGTGCATCGCACGGATACTTTGTCTAGTCTTATTGAAAATTAACGTTTCAAGTGGATCAAATACACACCAATGTAATACGTAGTAATAGCGGCGGCAGCGACGATGATGATGATGAAGACCACAACAACAAAGTATTTTTAACTTACGTACATAAATTATTAAGAAATATAAAGTAGTAAGAAATATAAGGTCATGATAATTTCAAATATATATGTATTTTTTTAAAGTCATAGTGTTATAAGTTTTTTGTGTTTGCTCTAATTTATACAAAAAAATACCAAAATTTATAATTTTTTACGATATTTCATATGACACCAAAATATGTAGTTCTGTTAAATATAATATAAGTCGGCTAACAAATGAGGGGAAATATTAAATATATCATATGTCGTGCTTTTAGGTATAAGGTAAACCGACTAACAATTGAGTGAGCGAACTTTCTCTCTCATATGTAGAGCTCGTTTGGTAACACTGAACTTGGCTGAATTGGCTGATTCTGGTGAAATTTATGAAGCTCTGGTTGAAGTGAGGCTGTATTGGCTGATTCTGCTGATTTACGAAAAAAATATTTAAAATATTTGTTATTAATAAATAAAATAAAAAATATATGAAAAAGTAGCTAAAATGATCATTTACGGTAACTTTAGCCAATAAAGCAAAAAAAGTAACTCTAACCTTACTTTTTCTTATTATTACATAATTCAGTGTGTGAGATTAAAAGTTATGTGTTTGGTGAAATAACTGATTGATAAACCTGATAAGCCGAAAAAAGAGGTCACCAAACGGGCTTGTAGTGATTTTATGTATGAGAAGATGAGCTTGCTAATAATTGAGCGGAAGAATTTTCTCTTTCATTTGTAGTGCTTTTATATATTAGAAGATAAGCTTGCAAGAATTGAGCAGTGAAATTGAGGAGGGAGATTTTAGGTATAAGATAAGCCGGCTAACAATTCAGTGAGAGAGAATTTTCTATCTCATATCTAATGCTTTTAGGAAATAAAATTTAAAAAACAATGTCAAACTTGCTAAAAAAAGTCACATATACATTTTATGCATTACCTTCCTCGAAATAATACTTTTAGAGGTCGGTCATATCAATTTAGGTATAAGATACTCAAACTAACAATTGAGCGGAAGAATTTTCTCTATCATGTATAGTGTTTTTAGATATAAGATAAGTC